ATTTGCTGGGCTCCAGAAATAGCATTTATAAAGGTGTGATTATTTTGAACTTCTGGGAACCACAACCATAATGCAAACTTAGCAGTTTTAAACACAGGTAGGTAAGAACAAAAACAAAGTTGCTGGAAAAGCTCAGCAGGTCTGGCAGCATCTGTGGAGGAGAAAACAGAGTTAATGGTTCAGGTCCGGTGACCCTTCCCTACCCACAGGTAGGTTAGACGTGTGGCAAATTTCCAACGAGAGCTACTGAATCAGATTCAACCTATTACTACTTTTTTATTATTCTGACCAAGCTGCAATGTACAGTTTGGTGCATCTCAATTTCTCCAATTCCTGTTTCTTTTCTAGTAGTTTATTAAACTATTCCAATTTTATTCATCCATTATACATCGTGTAAGCCCACTTACTACATCCTTTTCATTTTCTTACGCTGCTTATGACCACAACTATCTAATTTTTCAGCATTCTCATCTCCCTCCCGTGGCCTCATGCTCCTCCAACCCTTTCGCTCTCTTGCGCTCTCACCCCTGTTGCTCGGTTTTGGCCAGCTTGAGAATGTGGAAGGTACTATATAAATCTAAGTCTCCTTTTTACTTCATGTGCATCATTCCTTTTCCCGGGACATTGGGTCTCTTGTCTGGTCTGGTTTAACTGATCATTTCGCCCTATTACCAGTCTACATTGTTTATTGTCTAGGCTGCTTTTGTTTGCAAAGTAATTTTAATAAGTGAATTGCAAGGTAGGAAGTCTGTTCCTCATGCACCAAAAACCAGTTTCAGTTCTGCTTCTCTTGTAGGATGATAAAATTATAGGGTTGCTGCTTTTGTGCATATAATAATGAACTACAGGAGAGTGGTACTGGTGGTGTAGAGGCAGGTTTACAGCTAATTGTCTGCTGGGGGAGCGTGGAGAAGATGGGAAATGCAAGGTCTGTAGAGTGTGGAATTTGTAAGTGCATAGGTGTACTCTCCAAATGCTGTTTGCTATTTGAAGGAGACAAAAAAAAAGTAAAATTGTGTTTATTTGGAGCATAATGCTACTGGAATTATTTGAGAAACGACCTGGATACTTGTGTACTGCTGACTGTTAATTAATGAAATTTGGTTGGGTTCTACCTGAAGAGTTTATGTATATTTCAAATTGTGCTAGATGGAAGAATTTTCAGTTGCAGAAAATTATAACTTGATCTATATTTAAGAAGTGATATATTTCAGGAGCACTTAATTCTAACTTTGAATTATAGACTTGTGTACTTGTTGAAAGGGTCATCAAGCTGTGAGTGCTGTTTCTGTAACTGTTGGCCATAAATGGTGGTCTGTTCCTAATGCCATGAATCACCATCAATTAAACATTAGCATTTTGACAAATCTGTCACACCAAGAAACTAACCAGTCTTGTTTTATTTGGTAGTTCTTTAAATTATTCTGTTTATGTTGTAGTGAGAATGTAAGCTTTTGAGTTTAATTTAGTTGCTTCTTTTCAAAATAGTACTGCTGTCATGTATTGCAAAATAAACAAAGTTTCGGGTTCCCAGGTAATCAAGCTACCCTGTTTTTAATTGCAGAACTTAAATTCTTGGATTCTTTCATGCATTTAAATGTAACAATGTGTGGTAGAATATTCTGTTTCTTTTGAAATCTTGTAGCTTGATTCTTGGTCCATACCCAAATGGCTTTGTGGATTAGAACCTGTGGTCTAACATAACTTCTTTCTTCTAAGCTTATGGTCTGCTAAGACTTGATGGGATAAATGTTCCTCTTCTGTGCAAGAAGAATCCAGAAATGAGACTCTGGCAGTATTAGTTAGCTCAAATACTTAGCAATTGCAAAGCTGCCCTGTGTATTTGACACACGTTTAAGAATGCCAGTCAAACCTGAGTACCATTGTTGCAGAGTGGGGAAGAAAAATAGAGGTAAAGAAGAGTAAAAGAAAAAGATGGAGAAAGTGGTACACGAGTGTTAATGCACATAAGAGCAGAACAAGATTGAGGAAAATGTGGGGTGGGCTGGGTGGGCTGGGGTGTGTCGTGGCGTGGAAATCTGGTTTTTGTATTGGATAGAGTTGTAAGTAATAGGAGAACAAGAATTGACCTGGGTAGACATTGTATATAGGAACTTGATATATTTGCAAATTGTAGTTGTCTTTTTTTTGTTTGTAATCTGTGATCTTTCAGAGGAGTTTGAGAAGTTTGTTGGATATGGTTTACTTGATTAACACAACCTTTTTTCTTTTTTGTTACAATTTCCAATGTTTCAGGGGATTTGGTATTTGTTGCCTTAACATGTAGTATTGCCACTTAGAAAATCAACTTCTCTTGTTATTGAAATAAAACAAACAGTTAATGTTTAAAGGAAGAATTTTTAGCTTGTAATGGACATGAGAATGAAAATATTACAAACATAATGAGTCAGCAGAACGAGTAGACCATCCAGCTGCTTGTGCCTGTTTCTGCATTCTGTAACATTATGGCTGATCTGGTATGTGACTTCAGATCCACATGTCAGTGCAAATTCGATGGATTGAAGGGCTTCTTTTGTACTTCATGACTGTGTGGTTCCCACCTACCCTTTGAGCTTTCAACCCCTTGCTTAACAATTTATCTACCTCAGCCTTTTAAAAATATTCCAAGGTTCTACTTCTACCATCTTTTTCAGGAGAGAGTTCCAAAGTAGTTGAACGCTGTGAGAAGAAAAAAATTGTCTAATCACGGTTTTAAACAAGTGATCCCTAACTTAAAATGTGATCCTGAAGTTGTAGATTTTCTCATAAGTGGAAACATCCTTTCCACATCTATCCTGTCAAGTCCCTTCAGGATTGGATATGTTTCAATCAAGCCACCTCTTGCTCTTCTAAACTCCAGCAGATACAAGCCTACCCTTTCCAACTTTTCCTTGTATGACAACCTATCCATTCTAGGTATTAGTTGCGTCTGCTTCTCTCTCTGTGGAAGGACCTACTGAACGTTTTCCTGCATCTTTAGTTAATTCGCACTTCCAACATTTTCATACTCCTTTTTAGAGATAGATTGAATCTAAGAAACTTTAGGCAAATTTAATGGTGAAGTTTGGTTTAAGTGACCAATGATGACCAATAATAAAATGGCTGTTGAAATTTGAGAAATCGCACAAAATGTGATCTATAAGAAAGCATTTATTCATCCTGTGTCAATGGAGGTGAGATTGTGGCACTCCAGCATTCCTTGTTGGACTATTTCTGCTACATCAGCAGAAATTGCTTGTGCGCTGCTCTGAATAATTTAATGTATTGACTTTATCTAACCAGCCTAAATTATTAAACACTCAACATGATCCAATGTTTCCACAATTAGACAACATCAGGTGAATAATCCTGACCCTGTGAACAAACTTGGTGATACTCGGTTTCGGATTGTTGGATTTTGTGATTCTCTAGCGTATACTAAAAGCTACATATTACTACACTGGACCCTGTTCTTTACTGACAAACATGCACAAACATTACGCTTCTTTCAACTCAACTAAGTAGGTGATAGTGATTCTCTAGGCACTGCCTTGGCCACTCAGTCAACACAGCTGGATTGAATATTTAAACAAAGATTGACCGTTTACACATGCTCATCGTTGATGCATTTGCTATGGTGATCCCTTTACCAGTTAGAGTCCAAGTGCCAACCAAACAGCACTGTAAACTCCCATGACTTTGCCTCTGCCTAATTTGCAAGAAATGCCATGGCCTAATGGTATTATCGTTGGATTGTTAATCCATAGACCCAGATAATGTTCTGGGTACGAATCCTGCCACGACAAATGGTGGAATTTGCATTCAATAAATACCTGCAATTAAGAATCTGACTGACCATAAATCCATTGTAAATTGTCAGAAAAACCCGTCTGGTTCACTAATGTCCTTTAGGGAAGGAAACTGTCATCCTTTCCTGGTCTGGCCTACATGTGACTCCAGACCCACAGTAATGTGGTTGACTCTCAACTGCCAACTGGGCAATTAGGAATGGGCAATAAAAGCTGCCTAGCCAGCAACACCTCTCCTTCCGTGAATGACTAAAAAAAATTGTCCTGATAAGTGCAAGATGAAAAATTTTGACAATGTCTTTTTTGCAAAAATACTGAAGTTCATAAACTTTATTATCTGCACAGCTGTTATTGTGCTTACCAAACACCACTTTGCTTTACTTGGAAGTCAACAATTTGAATAATAACGGATTGTGTTGAATAATGCTGTAGTTTCCACTTAAAAAATTATTTTTTATAAATTGCTTAAAATAGTACAATGGAATTTTATTAAAATGAAATACAAAATTCTTCAAATACTCCACATGCCAGACTGTGTTTGTGGAATTGGAAACAGTTAATATTTAAGTTTGGTAACCTTCAATCAGAACTAGAAAAGGAGACATGAGGTTTTGAGCAAGTACAAAGGCAAAAAAGGTCAGGGTGGCAATGAACAAAAAAGTTTGCAATTGGGTGAAAGATGGTTGGGGAGGCACAAAAACCCAACGTGCCAAGGCATAAGGAGACTTCTCCAAATCGCATTCTCCCAATTTTTTTTTCTTGGTTTTGGATGATTCCACTTTCCCACTTACACCTCCATTTTTTTTTAACCTATCCTAGTAACACCACCTTTGCCTTGTATCCTTTTAAAACCTCTTGTCATTTTCTAACTCCTAGCTTTCACTTTATTACAGATCTCACATTTTGGTCCTGCCCTTGCCTCTTTGCTTAAAAACCCCTTGCATGTTTTAATGTGTTCCAGTGCAGTGATTTGATTATTTCAGCATTTCCTGTTTTCATTTCACTTTCTAGTGTCTGTAGTATCTTGCTTTTATATATGTTTAGGCATTTTCAGTAACTGTCTAACACCTAAAATCCTCAAAGTGCATACTTTTATTCTGTTCTGTTAAAAACTAAACTAAGTTACTTGCAGTGTTAATGGAGAAGCAAACTGGAAGTTCTTTCACTTTTTTTTAATCAATTCTGAATTACACAATATTATTGTCTTTTCAGATCTTATTCAAGCCACAAATGAGACCAATGTTAATATACCTCAAATGGCTGACACGCTCTTTGAGAGAGCAACGAACAGCAGTTGGGTGGTGGTGTTTAAGGCTTTAGTTACTACACATCATTTGATGGTCCACGGCAATGAGGTACATATTTTATTAATTCTTCAAATATTATTTTGAATGTCTGAACACCTATGTAATGTAAATGGTACTATTTCAGCTCACTGGAGCCTGGAATAGTTGGAGGGCAAGTTGGTTGTGATTGTAACTCATATTGTTAGTAAGAAAATGCTGATAGAACTTTGTTCTGTTAATGAATGAAGTAGCCTTCAAACTGTAACTTGCATTCTATAATGAGTCCATATGAAGTGATGTAGATTTCATGAATGTAAGCCCCGAGTCGAGCACGTTTTAGAGCAAATACACCCTGGATTCTGACATGCAGAATGGTGCACCTGATTTTCAGATCACAGTTTTGTTTTCTTGGTGGGAATTCAAGAACATAATCAAATTAATTATCCCAGTCATTACACCAGATTTTCAAATTTGTGCTAACTGCCAGGAATATTTAAATTTCAAGATTATAACAAATAAGGGCCTAATGCATTCATTGATCAAACAAATCTTGATGAACACAGTCATATGTTTCAGTTAATTTTTTGCAATTTTTTTGACAAACCATAAATGAGAGAGGATATTTGGTAAGGCGCTGATTTGAAACTGGAACATTAAAATGACCACTAACAAAGGATGGTTTTGTGATAATATGGTGTATATATCTTTTTTTCCCAAATATTCCAACCCTCCAAATCAAATGAATTAAGATGGCCTGCAAGTTGCATGGTCACTCTTCCTTTCCTTTTGAGGGAAATAGAATGCAATAGGGTGGTAGCAGTGCTACAGCTGTATATAGCTCATGAGTACTGTAACCATCCCTGGGCACCTCATGTTGGCTTTGAAAAGGGGGTGCAGCACAGTTTCACCAGAATGGTATAAAGACTAAATTAGAGGACAGTCTGCGAAGACTTGGCTTGTTTTCGTTTTGAGTTTAGACCGTTTGAAGTGTGACTTGTGTTTTAAAGCAATAAATGGACTTGAACAGAGAGAAACTGCCTGGTTAAGGATTACAAAACAAAAGAACACAGTTTTGAAATTGGAGCAAGACCATGTAGGGATGAAATTAGATGTGGGCTTTCACCCCAAGGGTAGTTGAATCTGGGTCAAGTAGATTTTTTGCTGATCGTTGAAGAATACGGATGAAAGACCGGTAAGCAGAGTTGAGGTAGCTGTCTGTCCGTCTGTTCCATAATTAAATGATGGAATAGTCTCAACTGACTGGTTTAGGCCTATTCCTATTTGCCTGAAATCAACTAGGGAATTATAGTTGACCATTCAAGCGAATTTAGAGTTCAAGTTAATGCTATTATCAACAGTGCAGAATATGTGAGCAGAACAATGACATTGTTGATTAGGTGGATTGGTGTTGGATGATCAGAGTACTTGGAGACTAGCAAGTAGCTGCTTGATCTTTTTGCGATTTAGATTAGGTTAACACCTATTTTGTTATCTCATCAGTTTTTATGTTCACTCACGAATGTGGGTATCACTGACTGGGCCAACAATTATTGCCCATACCTAATTGCCCTCAAAGGTGGTGGTGAGCTACCATTTTTACCCATTGCAGTCTATTTGCTGTAGGTAGACCCACGATTCCATTATGGAGGGAATTTGAGGATTTTGACCCAATGACAGTGAAGGACGGTGAGTGGCTTAAAGGCAAGCTTGCAGGTGGTGGTGTTACCATGTATCTGCTGCCCTCGTCCTTTCAGATGGATGTGGTCATGACTTTGGAAGGTGCTGTCTAAGGATCTTTGAATATTTACAGTACATCTTGCAAATGGTACATGCTGCTGAGTGCTGGTGGTGGAGGGAGTGGATGTTTGTGGATGTGGTGCTGATCAATTATTACTATTAATCAAAGATTGCTTTGTCCTGAATTACTTGCTATTGTACTCCTATCCTCTGACCTGCTGTTGTAGCCACTGTATTTATATGGATGGTCCAGTTGAGTTACCGGTCAATAGTAAGCCCCCAGGATGTTGATGGTCAGGGATTCAGTGATGGTAACACCATTCAGTGTCAATGGGTGGTAGTTAAATTGCATATTAGTGGAGGTGGTAATTACTTGTCATTTGTGTGGCACAATTAATACTTGCCATATTTCAGCCCAAATCTGCATATTATCCAAGTCTTGCACTTGAATGTACAGGTAGTTCTCCTGTAACTCAATAGTTGCGTTTTTGTGTGACCTCGTACCATAGAAAATCACATTATAGGGAATTTGCTATAGAAAATCACTATATACCTTGTACAGCAGAAAGTTAGCATTATCCAAGCAGTGTCCACTATTCATCAATCGTGTTGCAGCCAACTTGTTCGACAATGAAACACTTGTTATAGCAGAAGTACCTGTAGATTGCTTCAGTATCTGAGGTGCTTCAATGGTGCTGAACATTGTGCAATCATTGACAAACATCCCTTCTTCTGACCTTTATGATAGAGAGAAGGTCATTGAAGTAGCTGAAGATGGTTAGGCCTAGGGTACCACCCTGAGGAACTCCTGCCCTGGACCTGAGATGATGAAGCTCCAAAACCATATCCTATTGATGATCAAACTATCTGGGGCTTTTGTCCATCCAATTCCCATTGATTCCAGTTTTGCTAGGGCTCCTTGATGCCCCACTCTGCATCAAGATGTATTTGACAAAGGGCTTAGAATCCCAGAATCCCGGAATCCCTACAGTGTGGAAGCAAGCCATTTGGCCCATTGAATCCACACTGACCCTCCAAAGAACATCCCGTCTTTTCCCATAGTTAATCCACCTAGTTTACACATCCCTGGACACTATAGGCAATTTAGCATAGCGAATCCACCTAACTTGCACATCTCTGGGCTGTGGGAGGAAAACCACACAGACAATGTACAAACTGCACCCAGACAGCCACCGAAGGGTGGAATCAAACCCAGATCCTTGGAGCTGTGAGACAGCAATCCTAACCACTGAGCCACTGTGCTGTCACCCCCTCACCTCACCTTGAATTCAGCTGTTTCATCCATGTTTGAACCAAGGCTGTAATGAGGTAAGGAGCTGAGTGGCCCTGGCAGAACTCTAACTCAAACTGGGCGTCACTGCACAGGTTATTGCTGTGCAGGTGTTGGTTGATGGCACTGTTGATGACCCCTTTCATCACTTTCCCAATGATCGAGAGTAGACTGGGGCGATTAATTGACCGCGTTGGATTGTCCTGCTTCTTGTATACGGGATATACCTGGGCACTCTTCCACATTGTTGGGTGGATTCCAGTATTGTAGCTATACTGGAACTGCTTAGCAAGAAGATTGGCAAGCTCTGGAGCACAGCCTCTGGTATGTATATGCCTCATGGGTGAAGTCACATGACTATGGTAGACCAGGAAGCAAGTTTGGACATCATTGCTTTTCCATCAAAACATAGGGACTGAATTGGCCCAAGTTGGTTGTGATGTTTTGTCTTGTTCTTGTACATTGTGTTTTACTTTTAGGTTGCATAAAGGTTCCTCTAATTTTTAACTCATTGAGTAGGTTGTCAAATCAAGTCAGTGACAAGGATCAATCATGCATTTGATAGTGTTAATAGGCGACCAGGTGTACTTTGTTATTATCATCACTTTATAATGGTGCAGATGGCTGCCAAGAATGCAAAAAATACATGTAATAAACTCTTTCCTATCTCTGATGCACAGTCTGACTAGTTAGCCCGTAAGGCCAGGGTTTTTTAGAACTTGTAAGTTCAATGTAAAACATTGACATCAAAATCCAAAACTTGAAGACATTTTGAAACTTAAGTATTTAAACTTTGGTCTTGAATCCTCCACTAAACCTGGAGGAAGAATTGTGGTAGATCTGCTGAGGCCAGTTTTGTTTTCTTCTTTGGACTTTCCAATTGGAAATACTAAAATGAAGTAAATTGCATTCATATCCAAAGACGAGCATGAGCTCCAGCATGTAGATCCCTCAGTGGGGACTGTGCAAATTTTATTGTATTTTAATATGTGTGTGAAATGGCTATGATCAAACAAATCGCTTATCAAAACTCTGTACACCATATTCATTTTCATGCTGCGTCATAAAGTCTTTCCAGAAATCCTTTGAATAACGAAGCATTTCACTTCGCATTCTGTGACTTGACAGTCTTTCTACTCTCTGAACTTTTTTCCCATTCTGTTCTTTCTTTCCCACTAGCTGATCTTTCACTCTTTTTGTCTCCCTTGCTGCTCTCCTCGCATTTTGTCTCCCACTCTTCCTCTCGCATGCTCTCATCCTGTTCCCTCAGTGCACAGACCAGACACTATTAACTTTAACATGCCTATTGAGTTCTCCAAGCTACCTACTCTCTTTTAAACCCCTGTCACCTTTGCTGGGCTTAACTGAAATTCAGTTTTCACCAAATAATCTCCAGTTAGCTATCTTTAAAACATGGGTTTCTCCCTATTCACTGTCTCCAGGTGAACCAAATGCAATCTGTGTCCTATTGAACACTGAGTGTTCCTTCACAAAGTGCCTGACTAAAACTGCAACACAAACTTTGCACAGTATATACTTTCTAATAACTTCAAAGTGGAATACAGGGCATTGTGGCTAATTAAATGGTAGCACAAATTCCTCTGCTTAGGTTCTTCTAAAATACTTCTGTACCAGAAACCATCCATGTGTAAAAGAATTGAAGCAATCACCTGAGGATCAGTTATTTGCTTTTGGGAACTGGACCAGTCAGGGATGTCAAAATCTTTGTCAAGATGTCATCATTTCAGTGCTACCCAAATTCTGTACTACCAAACAACAATTTGTATGGCTTTTATACATCCTAGAATCTGCACCTTAGAAATCTTAGCATACACAAAGCGATTTATTTTAATATTATAAGGAACTAACTGGATTTGTGAAACTTTTGGTTACAATTTGCCTCCCCAATACCTCCCTGTTGCATCCATTGTTTATATCTCTGCCTCCCGTGTACACATCTGTCTACTTGCATTAGTCCAACCAGTCCTTCATTGACATTCATCTGGTAATAGTGCCACAAAGCAGTGGAAAGCCCAAGTCT